TCGGTTCCCAGTGAGGCGACTCCATCTGGGCAAGGAAACCCACGAAGCGTGTGTGTGAGTGACTGAGTGGATACTTCACAGGGCCATACAATGGGAGTTGGGGGTTCAAAGGGGGGAAATACACCTCTTGAATGTATGTTAAATAATTTTAAGAAAGCCTTCTCAGGGGCGTATGGAGTCAAAATGACGCCAGAGCGCTTGAGAACGTTATGTGAATTAGAGTGGCCGAAGCAAAATACTGAATGGCCATCTCAAGGAACCTTTGATATAAATTTAGTAAGCAAACTTTGGTCTAACATCGCCAAAGAAACTGGAGGGTGCCCAGAACAATTTTCATATATAGATTCCTGGCTGAGCACATTAAATAAAAATCCTCCATGGATAAGGGACTGCAAAGTCCAGTCTTGCAAGCGTAAAAGCACATCTGTATTTTGGGATAATGAGTTTGTGCAGATGTGGGGCCAGAGAATCAAAATGGAGACGTGGAAAATGAACATAACAAGGGCAGAATTTCCTTATAGTGGCCAGGTTGTTCTGATGCTCGGTATCTTTTAGATGTTGACCAATTAGCCTGTTTGCTTTAGTAGGGCCCATAGTGAGTAAGTGTTGTGGGGATAGGCCACAAGAGCGAAGTTTTTGATAGACAGTTTTAAGCCAGGCACTTTTATGGGAGTCTTGAAGTACTAGGGATAGTAAACCAGGGGGATTTGAGTTTAGGCGGAGCCAGAAGTTAAGAGTTCTTTGCCAAGGCTGTACTTCTATTGAAGGGAGACTTGCCTCCAGTCTCAATGATGCGTTTGGGACACATGGCGGTACAGAAAAAATCTGCCTTAGAAACTTAGAAATGCAGTAATCATCCCATGAAACGGCAGCGTGGGACTTGCGTCTGCCCTCCGCCTCTCCCTCAGGCGCCCTACGGTGAGGGGGAGGCGGCAGAGAGGATCCATACAGTGCGCCCCGCCCCCAGCTGCAGGATGTGCGCCCTCACGGCAATCTACGCTGCTGACGAGAGATGAAAAGAAAGACATAATGGGCTTGGCCAGAATGAAGTTTCTAAATAAGATATTTCATAGGCTTGTTGCAGAACAATAAACCCAGATATAGACATTCAGCAAGTGAATTTGTCTTCTAGGGAAACAGTGCAATCTTGTTCCTTGGAGGCTTAAAAAACCACAGTCACTTGGGGATGTTTTCATAAAAGATAGTTCAGAAGAATAATCTTAATTTAGGGCAATGAGTAGTCCTAGAACCAGTTTATCGGTCCCTTCCTGTTGAGTGGCCAGTTTTACAAGAGTCAGTTTAATCACGTTTTGTATTTACCATATTTTGGGGGTACATTAATATAATCCCACATAATGAAATTGAACTGTAAATATTTTTCACACGCTCTTTTCTGATACAGGAGAGATTAAATCCCCAAAGGAAAGAGCATGTTTTCTTTATGACAATCAGTTCTAGATTATGATATGGGTAATTATTCCTTTCAAAGCTATATAATGTAACAGATTGTTGGGGGGCGGTATCTATTTTTCTCCCAACACAAGGTAATTATCTTTTTTATAAAATAAAATAAAAATCACACATAACTGAGACACATGTGAAAACTTGAGTTTTGTGAAGGTTGTCATGTGTGTTTTGCGTGGGATTGTTTGGAAAAATATATCAGGTGTGGTGGATCTTGCTATTCAGCTAGAGGACAGAAGAGAAAGAGTCCTTTTCCAGGGTTTTGTTATTTTGTTTTAATATAAGACTATGAAGCCAATTTTATTCTGTAAAACCTTCAAAAGAAGAATCCGCAAGGGAACCGTATTGTGTTTTATCTCATGCAAGAGAAACTCACCCTGGCCAATATCATCAGGAATCTGATAGCATGATGTGAGGCTAAGCTTGAAGTGTGAATCTTCCAACTCTAGGCTTGGAATCTTGGAGGGTGGGGCAAAAGGCAGCCAAAATTTGGAGTGATTTCAAGCAGGGTGGGATTCCTAATAGGTTTTGGGGGCTTTTTCGAGTGGCAGTAGATGTTCTGGGGTGTTCTAGGTGTTCCAGAAGCCACCATTTCCCTACCCCCAAGAAAATGCACCAGAATGACACTGCAGTGCTGGGTTTGGAGCAGTATGGGGAGATAAGAAAGAGCTTGCAGTGAATGGTGTGTGCAGAGTGCAAATGGGGCTGCAAAATAATAGCGAAGTATTTGAGCTCAGCTGCTACCTGACGAACATGATGTTCCTGGAGTTCTCAGAAGCTTACTGTATATGTATGCATTTATTTGCTAAATTTATATCCCACCTTTCCTCCCAAAAGAGCCCAGAGTAGCTCCTTTTTAGCCGTTCGTTGGATAGAATATCAGCAGTGGTAGGCAAATTTCCCTGAAACACAGCTTGCTTATAATCACCGATCTCTCCCTGCAGTGTGGAGCGCTTGGTGTGTTCTCCATGTCCTGTTCTCAGCTCACATTATATCAGAAGAAATTCCAATACACCTGGAGACTAGCCACTGTGAAGCAAGCCCTAAATCAGGCATAGGCAAACTCGGCCCTCCAGATGTTTTGGGACTACAACTCCCATCATCCCTAGCTAACAGGACCAGTGGTCAGGGATGATGGGAATTGTAGTCCCAAAACATCTGGAGGCCTGAGTTTGCCTATGCTTGCCCTAAATGGTGTTCCAGGATTCTCTGCAGCACTCAGGGACTCTATGCAGATATAATGGAAATAATTCCTCAGAGATACATTTTTTAAAAAAAACCTTCTTCCCCATCATCCCCCTCCATAGAGTTGCAAAACTAGTCAGAGAGAGGGAGAGCCCTTTGCCAAAAGAAATAAATAGCAAGCAATCCAGGCATGCAAGCATTCCCATGTGTGGAATAGCTCTCATTGCACATGTTGCTTGCGCAGATACATGTAAGTATGTATTTAATTAGAAATAAGTGTTAGCCTGGACCCAGGCGATCCATCGCCAAGCCAACTGAGCAACGGTTTCCGCACGGAACTTCTTCAAAAGTAGATGTAATGCGGGCCATGGTGGGGGTTAGATCTCATTTCCGTGACTATTGTCCCTTTTGAAATATTGTAGGGAGGTATTCTGTTTCCTTGTGAAGAAAGATTCATGCATGAAGAGAGACTTGGGAGTGAGATCATTTCAAGAGCGATTCCAAGCCGAATCAAGAAAGTGGAATGGATAGAAATTTAGATCAGTGCATGCTCGTGTCTGGCTAAGATACTAATATTCATCATCAAAGCACAGGGCAGATGCTTCTGACCTTGAGATAGTGAAGAGAGAGCAGAGAGGAGTGAGTGACTGGTTAGCAATACATTGCATGAGCTTCAGGGCCACGTTGAATTTGCAGGTTGGCATCTGTTGCCCCTACGTGTCCTTTATGAAAGTTCCTGTCTTATCTGTTCGAGATAAATAAACGAGTTGGCAATAAAAACTCAAATTGCATATGTGTACACTCAGCAGGGGGAGAAAATGTTCTCATCCTGTAAGTATTCTGAGCCCTTGGAAGGGAAAACACCATAGCTCAGTGCTTTGAATTACGGAAGATTCCAGGTTCAGTCTCTGGCACTCTGTTTGGTCTAATCCAACAGAGTGTTTGTTATTCCCATCATCCCTGATCATTGGCCACAGTGGCTGCATTGGCTGAGGATAATGGGTAAAAGGTAAAGGGACCCCTGACCATTAGGTCCAGTCGTAGCCGACTCTGGGGTTGTGGGCCGCTCATCTCACTTTATTGGCCGAGGGAGCTGGCGTACAGCTTCTGGGTCATGTGGCAGCATGACTAAGCCGCTTCTGGCGAACCAAGAGCAGCGCACGGAAAGACCGTTTACCTTCCTGCTGGAGTGGTACCTATCTATCTACTTGCACTTTGACATGCTTTTCAAACTGCTAGGTTGGCAGGAGCAGGGATGGAGGAACGGAGCTCAACCCGTCACGGGGATTCGAACTGCCAACCTTCTGATCGGCAAGTTCCTAGGCTCTGTGGTTTTAAACCCACAGCGCCACCTGCGTCCCTTGAGGATAATGGAGGCTGGAATAAAAAGGATTCTGGGTGGCTGCAGGTTTCAGAACCCCTGGTTTAAGCAATCTACTGTAACAAGAGCTCTGCTGAAGACTTTGGGGATAGGGGCTACAAGTCAGAGCAGACAGTAATTACCTACTACTACTACTACTACTATACTACTACTACTACTACTATTCAGCCAAAATTTGAATCCAGGAATAAGTCTAGAATCTGTCCCTGTGAAAAACTAAGGGGTGAACTTTCACTTAGTTTTTATGCTTGCCTGTGTTTAATCAAAATACATTCTCTCTTTATCCTAGAGTGCTCATATGTAGGATAACATACGTCTCTTTAAGAACTCTGAAGTGGCAACCAGAGATTTAATTTTTTTAATTAACTTACATGTACTGCACGCAACACCATACACCATTCATATTTGGTGAGAAGGGTATATATATATATTGTGTTGGCAGTGCATGTATGTACCAGGTACAAAAGGTAAAGCTATTATTACTTTTGTCTAGACTATCGTCTAAACAAAATTAAAAAATTCTTCCGGTAGCACCTTAGAGACCAACTAAGTTTGTTATTGGCGTGAGCTTTCGTGTGCATGCACACTTTTTCAGATACACGCATGAAGTATTTGTTTCAAACTATGGCAGACCAACATGGCTACCTACCTGTAACTAGACTGTTGTCTACTTCTTCATGTTTGGGTATTTTTTGCTTCCTTGAAGCTGCCCATTCACAATAACTCTGTGAGGTGGTGAAGAGAGAATAGGGGACAGCGCAAATAAGGCCCCTGATCTGCCATGTCCAGAACTCTGCTGGGCTCCACTGACCTCTGCCATGAAGGAAGCTCAACCACCAACAGAGAAGCTCTGTCAGATAGAAGTGCCCCAGTACACTTTCCCAAGTGTCAAGAAGGAGCTGACACCAGTATCTGCCCACAGAAAGTTCTTAAGAGAATGGTTTGGAGCAGAGAGGCTCCTATGCCTACCATGCTGCTATCACATGATGCCAGTGGACCTGATCTGCGCCTCTTTTCTGTTCCAGCCTAGGAAATGTCTCAGAAAAGGGGCATTTTTCCTGACCCCGACCTTCCTCTCCAACAGGTGCAAGTTCCAAGTCTGTGGGTGCAGGGCCAGCAACACCACTTCATCCAACCCCTGATGGCCAGGGGTTAGGATTGTGCCTTGAGTTATCCATCAAATAGCAGTGGGCTTCCCAGTCCAAGTGTAGCACCATGGCTCTTTCAGAGGATAGACTGATGGAATTAGTAGCTGGGTCATGAACTGCGGATTTCATTTTGTGCTGTCTTCCAAGCAACAAAAACTCAACTAGGTGTCACTGAATATGCCGCGTAGCTAATGGTTGATGGTGCTTTCTTTCTTGCAGGTTGCTTTGTTGCCAAATAATGCTGCTGACCTTAGCAAACCGATCACAGGAGAAAAAGTACTTGCATCCAATACATTAATACCAGGTCCTCCTGGACAGCCAGGTGATCAGGGTCCTCCAGGTAAAGCAATAAAGTAGTTAAACTAATTTTTATGTTTATCATATTTGTATACTACCGTTCATACAAGGAGCTTAGAGTAGGAACAACCATGCTTCCACACAAACACACACATATATGGTATATAGGTACACACACACAAACACAATTAGAGCCTCAAAGCATGCCTTGTTCCATCTGGTTTATCCCATCCCAGGAGCTGTCCAAGGTGCTGCAAGCTTGATTCTTCCACACCTCCCCTCCTAACTGAAAATATTCCATTCCCAAGCTATATATCTGTTTAGTGATTAGTGAATCTCTGGACTGGGAATTGAGAAAGGTTTCTCAACTTTCCTTGCCAAGCTCAACCTGCAAGATCTCACTCTTTGTGCTCTTTATATGCAGGAGACATAAAGAGCTACAGTATTTATTCCATTTATTGCATTTCTAGCCCACCTTCCTTGCAAGCTGGGAATCAAGGCAGCTTGCGACATTTTACAAACATCATTGTGAAATGCAAAGTAATAAAAACGCATTCAGAACCAGCATTAAAGTACTACTATTAATACCGTGCAATAAAGTGCAATATCATTAGAGTCAGCGTGGTAGAGTGGTTAGAGTGTCGGACTGGGACCTGGGAGGCCAGGGTTCATATCCGCACTCAGCCATGAAGCTTGGTGCGTGACGTTGGGCCAGTCACTCTCTCCCAGTCTAGCCTGCCTCACAGGCTTGTTGTGGGGATTACATGGGGGGGGGCAGGGAGAAACATATAAGCCTCCTTGAGCTCCTTGGAGAAAATGCAATCAATCAATCAATCAATCAGTAATGTGGTTGTTTTGTTTTGTTTATGTAATTGCATCATAATCTTTGAGCTGAATTGATCTGAATTTGAGCTGAATTTGGCCAAGATACAAGGCAGATGGTGCAAACCTCTGGGCTCCTGGTTTGTCTCCCAGCAATTGAGATACAAGCTAAAGCAGGGGTGATGCTTCTCCACGTTGTTGTCCTAAGTCAGCCCCCATTCACCAGCCACATCTATGAACCCACTGACAGCCTTAACCATCTCCCTTTTATTGCAGGTGCCACAGGTCCTCAAGGGAGCCCTGGATTTCCTGGATCTCCTGGCCCTCCAGGTCTGCCAGGCCCTAGAGGAGCAATGGGGCCTATGGGACCCTCTCCAGACCTGTCCCATATTAAACAGGGCAGAAGGGGCCCCGTGGTCAGTATTGCACCTCCGTTCCATAAATGCACGCAGCGTATTGGTTGTGCTATTGCATGTTCGTAAGGACTGTGGTTTTGTTTTTCAGGGTCCTCCGGGAGCACCAGGAAGAGATGGAGCAAAGGTGAGCAAGCAATTCTTTCCCCTCTAGCATGTGTCTTATGAAATGTTGCTCCCAGTTCCCAACTAATTGGAAGGCAGCAGTAAAGCTGGCCTATCCCAAGAAACAACAGGCAGAGCCCCCTTGTGGCTGAGTAGTGTGAGAGTGCCTTGCAAGAGAACTTCTGTATGAATTGGGCGTACAACATGGCCTGCCTGCTAATATAGATTGTTTTCCTGTTGTTCCTTCCTAACCATTTTGATGGTTGTGTACAGGCTGAATCTCCACCTGATATCCCTGATATCTCCCAAGCTCAGGACAGCTGCAGACCCAAATCCCGATACAGTAATGGAGCCACAAATCCATCTTATTGAGCATTGCAGTTTATCTTTTATCACAAATCAGGGCCATATCTCTTTAGATATGTCTTGAAATTGAAGGTTCCATGCTGTCATAATATTGTCCATCTGCTATATTAATTGGAAACATTTTTCGCCTACATCTAGGGTGTAAATGAATCTATTGTTCATTTACTTTATAGTAAATTTGATTGGAACTATTTCCAATACAGATGGATTTGGCCTTTGGGGAGAAGTTGTTTCAGAGTTTTTCCCTACTCTGGAATAATCATCAAAGCCTGGTTCAATGTGTTGATTTGAATACTTACAACAGATAAAAAAATTGTGACTGGAAATATGATACTTAACTTTGATATGTAAAGGTAAAGGTAAAGGTACCCCTGCCCGTACGGGCCAGTCTTGACAGACTCTAGGGTTGTGCGCTCATCTCACTTAAGAGGCCGGGAGCCAGCGCTGTCCGCAGACACTTCCGGGTCACGTGGCCAGCGTGACATCGCTGCTCTGGCGAGCCAGAGCCGCACACGGAAACGCCGTTTACCTTCCCGCTGGTAAGCGGTCCCTATTTATCTACTTGCACCCAGGAGTGCTTTCGAACTGCTAGGTTGGCAGGCGCTGGGACCGAACAACGGGAGCGCACCCCGCCGTGGGGATTCGAACCACCGACCTTTCGATCGGCAAGCCCTAGGCGCTGAGGCTTTTACCCACAGCGCCGCCCACGTCCCAACTTTGATATGTAGGAAATGGTAAATGAAATCTAGGCCAGTGTTTCCCAACCTTGTGCCTCCAGCTGTTTTTGGCCTACAATTCCCATCATCCCTTGCCACTGGTCTTGCTAGTCAGGGATGATGGGAGTTGTAGGCCAAAAACATCTGGAGGCACAAGGTTGGGAAACACTGATCTAGGCTTCACACTTAGTAGCGTGAGAGCCCTACTGAACTCAGTCAGAAATTCACCTAGTGAAAGTCCCATTGGACTCAGTAGGATGTTCAAACGCTTAACCTTTGCTTCAAGTGTAACTTTTCAGATCACTTAATGTGTGGTTTGAACGATTATTTAGACTTTTGTTTATTGAATTTGTTTCTGGCCTTCACCTCAAAGGTTTCCAGGTTGTTAGATAGCAATACAGTATATAAAAAAATATATAAATCCATAGTAGGGGTGGGTGGGGAAAACACCAATTTAAAATAAGTATCATAAATGAAATATCAAAATATTAAAGAAACTACATTACAATCAAGCAGCAACCCACTTCTCAACCAGTTTCATATGCCTGAGAAAACGAATACAGGTTGCTTTCGAAGGATGGAATAGGTGTCCAAGATATGGTTCCATTTTAATCAATGAAAGTGATATTTGTTACAGGGTGACAGAGGGGCACCAGGAGAAAAAGGAGCACCGGTAAGTATCTTACCCAGTTGCAATGCAATGTTATTTATTTATCCAATTCCAAATGTTTATTTACTTACTACCGGTTGGACTAGACGGCCCTCTAACTCTACAATTCTATGTTACAACATAGTTACAACTAAACAGTTGCACTAGCATAAACCCGTTGAGCTACACAACGTAACTTCCCCTCCCTCTCCTCTCTCTGTGTAGCCCCCCATGTGCTTCTAAATCTATTGCCGGATTGCTCCCAACCCCCCAACCCCCCCAAGATCAAATTTAGGAGGTGCACGGGGAGAGGAAAGGCCAAGTTCCATTGCACAGCCCAAAGTGCTTGTGCTAGCATAACTGTTTAGCTGGATACCACCCATAACAGCATGAAATATATTTCAGCTTCATATATTTCTTTTTCCTACATCACTGTTAAATATACTAATATTAACAGCTACAGTGACCAAAATCTGCACCTTAAGATTTCCCCATCCAGACAAATGCACTGGGCATGGGAATGCTGAAAAACTGACCCCTGCCTTACAGGGCTGCTGGTAATTGTATGGGTGGAATTGTCTCTCCCATATCTGTATTCCTTTGCCCCTCCAACTGCAATCAGTTGGAACAGTTTTCATTTATGCTTTGGAACTGCTCTGAAGCACACATGGGGCTCCAGACTGAGGACATTGTTTAATGGTTAGCAGTATGAAGGTGTAAGCATCTGTCTGTTTTTCAGTCCCAATAAGTGCCTTCTGTGCTCTTCTCTTTAAACAATTTTTGACATTTCTTTTAATGAAATAAGTGGTGAAGACATAAATGTCTCATATTAGACACTCTCAGTTCCTATACAAAGCCAACTCTGTGCCCACAATAGTGAGGGTAACGGAATCTTACACACTGAAGCATTTCTCATTTGAAATTTGCATTCGGAAAAGATTCAAGTACAGATTGCTTTTCCAGACTTCAATTTTCATTAGTTTCCTTGCCTCTGTTTTGATAATCTATCCGAAACTGGTGCTGTGACGTACTCTAAGTCATTAGGAGCACGAGGGACTAGTAACTTAATTGTCACACCTGTAATATTTCTAGGGGCCACCGGGTTCTTTTGACTTCCTGTTGCTAATGATGGCCGACATCAGAAATGACATCGCTGAGCTGCAAGAGCGGGTGTTTGGCCACAGGACTCATTCATCGACTGAAGAGTTTCCATTACCTCAGGAATTTACAAACTATCAGGACATAGTGGATCTGGGATCCGGAGAAGATTACAAACAAAGGACTGCGTCGAAAGACTCCCGAACATACGGAGAAGGCAATCATTAAATCGAGCTTGTGACCTGGAAAGAGTAAAACTTTGCAGGGCAGTGGTCCACAAGTCATTTAAGCCAGCGTACTTGCACATATTCCAGTTTAGCCCCATGGAAATGGGCCCATGTACACGATTCACTGAAATTACCGTCTTCCCTTACTATAGCACTGCAGGCAGGACCAAATTAAGAGCCAGCTAGGTGATCAGCACTCAGTGAGAATTATCCATTGTTGGAATGGGCAGATGGAGAACTGCATATGAAAAACCAAGACCTAGATTGTAGGTGGAAGACATATGTGTTAGAAAGGAACAATCCTTTCTACACGTTTCCTTGACATGCTGTCTTTTGTCTGCATGGAGTTGTTTGCTACAGCTCAGCGGTTTATGATGGCTATATATTACCTTCCATATCAGAGGAAGTGTGCTTCGGAATAGCTATTGTTGCAGAACACAAGTGGAACAGCGCCATAACATTCATGCCCGGCTTGTGGGCATCCCAGACGCATCTGGTCAGCCACTGTTTGGAATGGAATGCTGTCCTAAATAGACCTTTGCTCTGATCCAGCTGCTCTCTTAGATTGTCAACAACAGATGCATCCCATGACTCTGCTTATAGTGTAACTCGACTCTCGAGAGCAAGGGGCATCAGGAATTTGGCTCTCACCCAGGATATCATACTCTGCTCACATCTAGAGGAAGGATTGTGCAAATATAGCTATGAACATCCACCTGCACTGCCTTCCTCCTGTTGCTTTTTTCTTTTGCAGCCTGAACAGGATACTGGTTGACCATGTGTATATATCTTCAATTTTTTTACACCTCAGAACACATTTCATTCTCCTTTGTCTTCCAGTAGGGGAGCAGCTGCTGTATCTGTGGCTTTAAATTGTAGGCAGTTTTAAAGGAGCTCAGTTGAAGGAGCAAGTTGGATGTACTCTACCTGTTGAGACACTCCCAAATAATTATGCCGTGCTGTTGGTCTCCATTTCCTTGCCACCCAACTCCCTGATGCTGCTGGTGGGAGTTGAAGGTGAGGACATGTACAACGTGGAGTTGAAAATGATTGTTTGCCTTCTCATCTTCACCATGGCACTCCCTTCCTCTCGTTGCACCAAGGATACAGGGTGTGCAAGGCAAGGAATGGGACTTTCTGCATTCACGCAATGGCCTAACATTAGCATAAAGGAATAAATTTTACATCTGCAACAATCAGTGCTCAAAAGGCAAGGGTCTTCAAGTGCACCAGGGAAATTTTCTACAGCCCAGTGACCTGTAAGCTACCTTAGGTACTAGTTCTGTGGCTTAAATGATTTGTAGACTGCACTGTTAAAAAGAGTTGTACAATATTTTAAAAATGCACTGATAATGTATAAAGTTTTATATGTTTTATTGTCCAAAGTTTCTCGATTCCCTTTTCTTACAGAGATGTTTACTGGTAGTAACACAATCCAGCTGTATTATTTGTTAGCCCAAGAACTAGCCCCAGAACTGTCTAAACATGGACACGATAATAGATTCTGCTTTGGAGCAAAAAGTAAAAAATAAAAATCCTAACGCATTGGTAATTCCAAGTGCAGTGGCATAATTTGCAGTCAGAGGTAGCTACAAATGCGTGGCGTTTCCTTTTTCTTAGCAAAACAGTGAAGTTCAGGAAAGTGGCCAAGTGTCAATGTTATTAACCAGTTCATAATTGTACTTTCCAGCCACGAGGCAATGACCTTGAATGATCCCCATTTTAGGTGTAATATAAAATTGCCTGTAATCAGACTTCTAATCCGTGTATCTTTGGTAAAATACAAACAGTCATGTAGTCAGTTCTCGTTCCATATTCCCCTGGCTGCAACTTGTACGCAATGCCAATTTAGTGCTGACGGGGGAAGAGATTATGGCTGGTCCATGGTCGAAAATAAATATTCTGAATATATCCCCTACTTAAATCTAAGTCCTGATTTGAGGGCTGCAATGCTCAAGGGCTTTCACATCACTAGTGGTACTTCAGAAAATCTCATGAATCTAGTTCAGTTCTCTGGGTGGCTTTTTTTCTTAAAAGCATGTGCAATGGGCCAATTGGATTGGCTCCTTGGGTTTTTAGTAAGGGGTGGTGTAGAATTAAGGCATGAAAGCAGAATAGCAAGAAGAGGCAGTGTGGGCATGATCCAGCAGACCTTAAGTCCCATTGCTTTCAGTGGGAGTGAGCTTTGACTGACTCAGGCCCATTCTTATTTTATGAAAAGAAAAGTATAATCAAACCATTCACAATGTTTAGTGTAATGAGAATATTCTGTGTTGTCAAAAGATGGTTTAGTTTTGCTTTTTAAAGGCTTAATGTGTCTACAGGAAAAAATACTAGTTCCCTAGAACGTGTTTTTAAATGGCCACAATTCCAAAGATTCTATGTATTGCTGATTAAGCATCATTATTAAAAGTAGTTCCATTGATTTCAGTAGAAAGGCGGCTTGATCCTGTCCATGTCTACATAGTAGCAAGAGCCACTGAGTTCAAGGGGACTTGCTCTTAGCTAAAAGTGCATAGGATCTGCACATATGACAGCTTAGCCCCTTGGTGTGTATGCTTCTGCAGTAGTTAGCAGTAACCAAAAATTAGCTGAGATGCAGGCATTGAAAAGTTTTTGCTAAAGATTTCCCAACTGGCATGAACAAACACACAGAAGAAAGGAAGAAATAATATTCTATAACCTTTGAGTAATCCTTCGAGATCTCAATGCAATCCCTGTCCGAGACTGTCTGTCACTGTGCAGACAGTTCACCAGGAATTTTCCCCATGCATGCCTCACAGTAATGAGTGGATCTGGGGCAAACTCATTCTCAGTAGATTTGTGGCCAATCTCTCTTTGAGATCATATTTCACAGTAAACGAGCGGAAGCAACTGGAGGTTAACAACGTGACCCATAATTTTATTACTTTCCTCCCTTTTTTGTAATAATAAAAGACACAGAGCTTTGTCCCTTTGTACACATTTAGAGAGCTATGCAACACACAATTATTTATGATGATTATATGAAGTACTAGAGAGTATAAAAAGTGACTGTGATTATGCAATGTATTTGCAATTAAAGAAGGATATTTTTTCTTATTTCGGTATTGACTCCCTTGTATCTTTTCCAACTTCTTTTTGAAATGGTGCTTATGAAGAGAGGCCAGCAGAGACAAACACTGCACATTGCTGGAGGGCAGTGAGTGTAACAGACTGACACATATAAGCTATTTTTCTCAAGCAGGTGCTACAGCTTTTACTGGCTGACTATACAAAGTGGGGAGGGGGGATATCCTTCAACTGTGTGAACAAAATCCTCAGGCCGTAATTATGTTAGGTGTAGTTTGGCTGTAAACCAAATACAAAAGTATGTCGTTTTTGTGGATGTGGCCAGTGACAAACCACAGTTGATGGGCACCTCATACCATCTCTCCCCAAGTTGGTGCCCTTCTAGACCACAGCACCCAGCATCCCTCATGCTGGAATCCAACAACATCTGGAGAACAGCTGCTTAGGAAAGGCTGCTTCAGAAAGCCAGCACCCAGGCTCCCTCGATCAAGGTGGGGCTCTATAGTTTAAGGTTGCCAGTTGTCCCCTGTTCTCGGGGACAGTCCCCAGATTTGCAAATCTGACCCTGGACAAATTCCGTCCCTGGAATGTCCCCAGATTTGCAAATCTGTCCCTGGGAAACGTGGCAGCAGCAGCCTCAGCAGCCCAGGGCCAGCCTGTTAGCGCAGTTGGCTCTGGCTGGCTTCAGGAGCTGGCTGGCTTCAGGAGCTGAAAAATGTCGCCTGCCATTTTTCCTGCGCCACGGCAGCGAGCAGTGAGCAGTTCCTGAAGCCAGCCAGAGCCAACTGCACCATCAGTTGGGCAACGGCCGCCCACCCATGACTCCTGAGCCTCCCCTGATCTATCAAAACAAAGGGGGAAGGAGATTGGGGAGGCTTGGGAGTCATGGGCGGCAGTGGGCTGTTGCCCAGTTTTTTTAAAAAAACTCTGCACATTTATGTTTCACAGGGTGCGAAAGAAGGGCTTTGCACCTTTATACAATATGCATGTGTGCTTGGGCCCAGGGTCTTTTGCCTCACCATGCCCACTACTGACTCCCTGTTGTTACTCAGCTTCAAAAAAAAAAGGGGGGGTCCCCGGATTCATTGAAAAAAATCTGGTACCCAGATGAAATGCCAGGTTTACAAAGGGAGGGGTGGGCTTGGTTCTTGGAGATAACCGCTTGGTTCTGTGGGGAAATGCAAAGTTCACACCAGTGCCCCACACCAAACTGGATGGAGCGGTCCACAAGTTTCAGGCTCCATCAGGGGAGAATAGAATGTGTTACGGCTTGCAGAGCTCAGGGAGGTGCACCTCCGTCAAAAGTCCCTGGAAAAACAGAGGCTCTCTCTCCACTCACGCCTGCCTTCCATAATGCTGAATGATGCATTAGCTCTACAGCAGCAATCTCAATGGCTTGCACCTATAGGGAATCTGCACTCAATTGCATGATCATTCACCAGTTTGGCTTGGGATAAGTAGGACTGGGCTCAGGGTGGGTTGATCTAAACCAAAGATGAAAATTTGAACTGAAACATGGGAACCCCCAACAAAAAAAGTATAATTTGGCAAAATATTTGGACTTTATGATATGTACTTGTATAATATGGAATAATGTGATTGGATTGGATTGGATTGTTAAAATGGAAAACTTAATAAAAATTATTATAAAAAAAATTGCAGGGGAAGGAGCATTGGTTTGAATGAGTGGGGGTGTCTCCAGCCTAATTAGTCCAGGCACAGCTCCCAATTTGGCCCATGAGGCTGTTCCCTTCCCTGCTCCACACCAGATGTACATGTGCATTTATTTATTATTACATTTATATCCCATTGTAGCCTCACACTCACAATGACCCTGAGAGGCAGTGACTGGCTCGAGGTCACCCTCGATTTGAAGCATGGTATCCCAGATCCTAGGCCAACACTTAAACCACTACATTGCATGAGCTCTTATACATGTGGGGCAGAAGCAGACATGGCCACATAAAAACTATTGGGATCTTAAACGTGAACTCCCAATTACAGTCATACCTTGGGTTACAGATGCTTCAGGTTGCGTTTTTTCAGATTACGGATGCGCCAAAACCCGGAAGTACCAGAACGGGTTACTTCTGAGTTTCGGCGGTTACGCAGAAGCGTTAAATCATGCTTTGCGCATGCACAGATGCGCCGAATTGCAACCTGCACATGTGCAGACGGGTTGCGAACACTGCGGGTTGCGAACGTGCATCCCGCACAGATCACGTTCGTAACCTGTGTCCACTGTATTCTTTTGCAAGTGGGGCAAAAGTTAACCCTACTGGCATCAACTGCACATGGGAGTTCCCCAATGGCAAGGCCTAAGTGAAGCCAAAGCGGGGGGGGGGGGTTGTTTGCTCCATTTTGAAACCAAACTGATTTTCCTCTCTGGAAGAAAGTTCTGCTTCAGGAGCAAGCCAGTTGACTCCAGAAGCTCTCCTTCAAAGGAGCTTGCTCTCTGTGTGTGTAGCTGAAAATGGAGCTCCCCCCCGCCCCCGCTGTCGAGGGAACCTAATGTAATGCGTTTAGCAGTTGGCCAGAGTGACCTCCTCACATTAGAAGTGCTACATTAAAGGATAGTAGTCTTAGAGGAAAAGTGATCTT